TATCAATTTTGTACACGACCTATTTTTCATCCAAAATATATTATTTATGATTAGGTTAGGTAAAGACAATTTTACTGGCAGAGCGTTGCAGCTAGAACAGGCTAGGGGGCCGAGCGCTGCGGCTAGCTGACAGGCTGAGGGGCTGAGCGCCGAGGCTAGGACAGCTGCTAGGGGGCCTGGTGCTGCGGCCATATGATCAATTATATTCATGTGTTACATGTGAGAGCCATGAAAACAAAATTGAAAAGGGGAGGCCACAAATAGTTCTCTTGAAAATTACCCATCCTTCTACATATTCTCAATATCCTTCTCCCTTTTACCTTCGATCCATCTTTCATCTCTCAACCCTATACCTCTTTTACCCCTCAATAAACAATTTTAAAAATTATCGATCTAAAACTAAAATATAACTGCGACATGTTGAACATGTTAATACTTTATACACTGAACTGCAAGGCTACGAGTCCGACTCCACTGCCTCTGATAAATGACTGAATTGAGTGCATGAACTGAATAACAAATGACAATAACATTAACAAAGATTAGTTCACAACAGTAAACGTTTACTTTACTGTACAGGCGTACTCTACGTGCAGGCGTACACAATACACATTCTCTACACAGATTTAGTTGGGACTGCGTAATGCATAATGCGTAATGCGTAGGTACAGGAATACGCACATAATATAGGATGAGACTTTAAGAAAGACCAGAAACATAAAAAACAAGGATTTGAATTTTATGTTTCTGCTTACAAAAGATTCAAAAAATATATAAAGGGGGGGAGGGGGTGTCACAATATAACCACATTTGTAATCTATCAGTTTTCCATATCTACTCTGTACAATCATTATATATTTATATATCGGTCTAATTGTGAAGGTCTATTATCCTACAGGGAGTAAATGTCACACCAACTTTATACGTTGCTGTAGAAATCCACAAGTCGTATATTATAATGCGTTGGTTTACAATATTTTAAAATATTTTTAAAGAGATCTTTTAATTGCATGACTTTAGGTTGGAAACCCAGCTCAGCCTGGAAACAAAGGATTCTCTAAAAAGTGAACTAACATATTATAGATCTTTGATACCAAGCTCAGAACTAGTTCAATTTTCTAATGATTGGCCTCTAAAGAGGCCAATCGGTCATGGGGTTCATTAGTTATGAGCGGGCATACAAACAGTACAGTTAAACAGAGATTATTACATTTTATATAGACTAGCTTGGGAACCCAGCTTTCCCTGAAAATTAAACTATAGCTAAAAAAATCCATCTACTCAACTAAGGACTTTTAAACCAAGCTAAAAACCTTCCTGTGGTTTTTGAAAAGCTCTCCAATAAAAATTTGAGGCATTCGGTCTGGGGATTCATTAGTTTTGATCGAACACACACACAGATTACTACTTTATATATTGATTTTACGTCTGACCGTATATTGGTATTTGAGTGTTATTAATTCTTAAAAACTACATTTGTTAAAATTTGCAATATTAAACTTTGCATCATATATATCCTAAAATAAAAAAATAAAAAACGATAATTACACGTTTGTTTTTGCATTTTTATAGGATAGTTTTTACATCTTTATAGGATAGTTTTTACATCTTTATAGGATAGTTTTACATCTGTATAGGATAGTTTTGCATCTTTATAAGATAGTTTTAGGATCGTTTTTTGCATATATCTTCTGATATCTTCTGTCAGGGTTAAAATTTGATATAGATGTTAGAAGAGTTTGGTTTAGAATAATCAATCTAAAAGCTTTTGCTTTTCCTAAGCTCTGCCAATTTTGAACCCTGAAATAAAATATTGGCACATCACTATTTACAGAAACTCCCTTTTTTATAACGTTATAAACTTAAACAATAAACAGTTCAAGATGTTGCAGATTTTTCTATTTTCATTTTATTTTTATTCCTTCTGAAACATGCGAACCTTATCTCGTTAAACTTTATTAAAAGAATTCATTATTTTCCAGTTTTTTTCTGTTTTCAATGCCGGGTTTCACAACATTGTAAAATATCAAATTTTTCCTCATTTTTAAATGACTTCTGTTGGTAATATTTTTCACACAAAATGTTAAAGTTACTGCTATTAGCCCTATATATATTGATTGTAGATCTTGTCCACTAATTTCCCCTAATTTCCCCTAATTTTTTAGAAAAAAAAATATTAGAAAATATGTCTGAAGGAACATGTCTAGGCGTTGTCCCTTTAAAAGCTGGTGTTTTAGGAATAGCTGCAGTGCAGGTACAATTAATAAAGTTGCACATCTACATTTCCTATATTTCTTATCCTTATCTTAAAAAAAATAAAGAAAAAGGAACCAAAAAATGGTTGTTTTTACAATTTGGTTTTTTCATATATTTTCTCTCAGAGTCAACATTTTGCAAAGTGGAAGAAAATCAAATAATTTAAAAACATTTGCTTTCCTTACACGTTGACTCTGAGATAAAATATATGCAAAAAACGAAGCAAAATTGAACCTGCAAATATAGATATAATCAACACTATATGTTTGGGGCGTGGATTTTTACTGTTAAGTAGCTTCTAAAAAATTCTAATAAATTTTAAAATAGTTATATGGGTTAAACGACTTTTAAACCCCTTCTTTGGTGAATTTTAGTTTTTTTTCATTTTGAAAAAACCTTTGATTAAGGATGTTTGGAATCTTGTACTATAACTATACCACTATCACTTTCAAGCCTTAGGTGCTTTTGGTAAGGTGAAGGAGGATATACGCCTGGAAAATGGGAGGAGGACAGCTTCTGACTTCTTTAATTTGATTTTCTTCAATGTTCAGAATTTCCTATGACGGCTCTGGATGAATTGTTTAAATGAATTGTAAAGTTGTTCATATATGAATTAAATGCCATTCTATGAAACTCTTTAAGTAATTTAAGAAAATAGATTTAATCAATTTATTTTAGTTTCTGTATGAGGGTGCTACTGTTGGTATGCGAGTGCACAGTGGTATGGAAAGTAGACAAATGGGGTTCTATGTTGAGTTTACGTTCCATTGTGTTAATCTCCTAGCAGCCATTATGCTAGCCGTTGGAGTATGGTAAATCATTTTTAAAATTTCAAATTATAATAATAATGTTAGTTTTTACATATCTACTAATTTAACATGAGGGAGGGGGGAACTTTGCGTCTCAAACCCGTCTAATCCAGGTGTCCTAGGCTTATAGTCGAATATTCAACACTAAAGTTTTCAGTTTAGTATATGTTATTATTATTTTTATGATGTATTGCAATTTGTATGCACAGTGCACACAGCACACATTGATTTTCGTCTTTTCTTTCGCAAACAGCTTAGTAGTTTATATTTGAACATTTATACAAATACAAGTTATAACAACTGACAAAGCAATTTTTTGTTAAAATAAAGACGACGACAATTATAGGAAAGTTTTCTGGTTACTTCCTTGCAATATTTTAACTTTTCATAGTAGTACTAGTAGTTTATAGTATAAGCTGTACTTTACGTACATACTACAGGGTTACCCACATAGTAGTAGTAGTAGTTTATAGTATAAGCTGTACTTTACGTACATACTACAGGGTTACCCACAAAGTATGAGACTGTAAGGACGACTTGAAACTCTTCAATTATTAAAATCCCAATTTATGTTTTCTGCTTTAAATTTGGGTTGAAAATAGCCAGTATAAATTACGTACAGCCGTCTTTGAAGTCTCATCCTTTGTGAGTAACCCTGTCTACTAGGTTTAGTTCTATACAATCAGTCGTACTCGTTTCCTCTTTGGCTTTCATGTGGTTTCACATTAATCTACAAAGTCCATCATTTTTTAAATTTTATAAATCTATATGTACAGTAGAGAGGTCACCGTTTACATCAATTCATTGAAGACGACCTTTCTATTTAGGTTTTTATTTCTAACAAGGTTTTTTTCCAAAAACAAGTTTACAAGTAAACAAGTTTACAAGTAAACAAGTTTACAAGTAAACAAGTTTACAAGTAAACAAGTTTACAAGTAAACAAGTTTACAAGTAAACAAGTTTACAAGTAAACAAGTTTACAAGTAAACAAGTTTACAAGTAAACAAGTTTACAAGTAAACAAGTTTACAAGTAAACAAGTTTACAAGTAAACAAGTTTACAAGTAAACAAGTTTACAAGTAAACATGAACAGCTTCTCTTTGTTTCCATGTTTATGTGTATCCAAGTGGTTTGAAAGTTTGGTAGAAATCAAAATTGAAAAAGAAACTCGTCTTCATTGTATTGATATATACGACGACGACTGTATTGCTAATTTCACTGCAAAAACATTGTTTTGATTTGTATTTATATCTTTATTTAAGTAGTAATCTTTGTTTGTTTGTTTTAATTAATTTTTTTAAATAGTTTTAGAAACTTCTGATAGAATAAAATACTTTAAATTTTTAACACGGTTTTTTTATAAGAAATTTGAACAATTCTTCTCGCTAAATGTTTCATTATTGTGAATAAAATTCTTAACACAGTTTCTAATTAAAAGAAAATTATCGGAATAATTATCTTTTCTTAAAGATTAAAAATGCGGGAACGGATTATTTTCTAAAAATTTTTTTGACGTAATACTTTTGATTTGTCACCTTTCAAATACTTTTCACAGATAGGGGGGGGGGGAGCAAGTGTTTATAAAAAATTATATTAGTATTGACGAATACTATAACATTATGATCATTTTCAAGACTCCAACTGTTTATAATCTACTCCTAGCCAAAACTCCTTTGATCACATTTGTTATTATTTATAAGTGGAGATTCTAACATTGGGTCCTACAAATATTCAAAATTCCACGTTTGGTGCAGTGTTCCTTTTTCTTATGAATAAATACAAATAAATTGTGTATAGATCTATATTTAGTATAGTCATCAACATTTAACAATCTATCAAACCTGAAAATTCCAGAAAACTTGCAAGGGTTATCATTTCATAATTGTTCATGGGTTCAGTGTCAGCAGCTGAGAATTTAGAAACCTATAATGAGCTAAACTTCCCTTCAACAAACCAGAAATATCAGACAGAATTAAAAAGAAGCAGAGATTAGCAGAAATCTGAACCATTTTATAGAAGAATGTACAGACTATTTCTAATTCCAATTATTTAAAGAATATCAAAAACAAATGTTAGGATGCTGTAAACCACTTGGGGTTTTTGGGGCCCTAGGATCCCTCTCTCCCCCCCAGGGGGTAGGGTCCCAAGACCCCAAGAATGCCAAAGTGGGAAAAACTGGAATAAAATAATTTTGTACAATTTTGTAATCATCTTTTATAAAACCTTTTTTAAAATTAAAAAAAAAATTGTTAAAAAAAATAATTATGGTTAAACATCTAAAGTAATGCAGGTTTTTTCACATTTTAAATTCATTTGTTTATAAATTATAAAAAAAATTTAGATTTTCGTAATTTTCTTAAAAGTAAACTGTTGGTCTGAGGTTTTGGATCATCAAGTATTTGAGCTTGAGCAATCGTAAAATAAAATTAGCAATCCAAAAATAAATACAAGAAAGCTACGGTTTCTCTACAGTCTGTAGGAACTTTACCCATTCCACATATCGCTTTTTCATCAAAAATATTTGAAGTAAATTCCATCTGGGCAAATAATGAGCTCTCTGGAATAAAAAGAATAAGAATAGAATAAGTTAATGCATCACATATAATAAATCAAGAAAACTTATTTTTTTCAAAACTAAATTTTTAAAAGACCTGAACTGAGTAAATAAATGAAAAAGTGAAGAAATATTCAAATATCTAATGGAGTAAAATCATAAATCACCAGAGAAAAGTATTAAATATAAATTATTTTTCATTTTAATCCAAATCATGGCTTGCACAAATATAATAACAAAGAACACCAGAAATTTAATATCATAGATGAATTCAAATAAAGTAAAGACACTAGATGTCAATGTCGTCTTTTCAGGGTTATTGTGAACTAAATAATTTTAAATATTGAGTTTCGTCTGCTATGTTCACATTTTGTTTGTTTATGTTTTGACTGAATACGCTTGTACTTAGTAAAACAAGAAAATTGCAGTATACAGTAAACTTGTCCGTCTTCACTGTTCATCTTGCGGAGACATAATAGACACATCTTTACAGTCTTTTACCCTTTTCATAAAATAAACTCTAGCAGACATAATAATATTATTGCTTTTGAAATTAGGTATTACAATGCTAATTAATAACAAAGACGATATCGAATTCGTCACTGAATTCCCATGTTTTTTGGGACACCCTGTATTACACGTACTAACCTGTTAATGTTGCAGTACAAAGACCCGTCAGATGTTTATCCCCTGGTTACTGCTGACTGTTCTACTCCCAGCTATGTTCATGGTTAACATGGTTTCTAGTTTACTCTTCCTTCAGTTTCATGCAGCAGCTGATCTTATTCTTCATCAAGCCATTCCAGCACTCATCAGTAATAAGAATAATATTAAGCTGTACCAATCAGCTGTACCAATCAGCTGGGCAATCAGCTGGACACTCCCNCATAAAACCCTGTTTTACTCTAGGGTACCGTTGTGAATCGGACATGGAACACGCTTAAGATAGAGGTCCACTGGAAATGAAGTAAACAGTCCCTTTAACAAACGTTTTTTTCAGCGTTCTACTTCTGCTCAGTGGTGTACACTCTGTACATAGAAATGGAACTGAACGCGGCAGGTTTCTTCATCCCGCCAGAAACCCTGTACGGTACTTCGAATGTCGTCTTCTCCCGGGAGCCGGAACCATTAGATCTTCCACCGTCCTACACTACAGCTGTGACGGCACATAAAGAACATATTGAAAATTTCGTTTAAATTGCCGTAATTGTACAGAATATGATTATAATATTGAGAATATTAATTATTCGTTTTATAAATAGATTTTGTGATTTTAGTGTAAAATATTAAGAAATAAATACCTTGTTGTCTTGCAGTGTTATTATAATATTTTTAAACACATTTTTCTTCTAATCTTTTGACAATTACGAATTTACACAATTTTAGCTTGTAAGTTGTAACTTAATAAAACGAAAGTTTGCAGGACAAAAACAGTGAAAAAAGATTTTAAGGCTGGATTTTTAAAGACAAATTTCTCTAATTCTTCTAAATTTGGGGAGGAGGGGGGGGGGNGTTGTCTTTGTCTAATAGTCTATTTAGTTTACCCTCAAATTACCCAAATACGTGAACGGACCTTTTAAGCGCTAATATGTTTTGCCGAGAATTCTTTCAAAGCTAAAAAGCTTGAAATAAATCCTATTGCAATTTTGAAATAGCTTTAATGCCAGGGCTACAGACAAGTATAAGGGGGTTGGTAATGTCTAATTAAGAAAATATTGAAAACTGCTGAAGATAAGATTGATTTAATAACATTCCATAAAAGACTTGTCGTTTCTTGTAGTCAATCATGGGAGAAAGTAAACACAAACCATCAAAATTCTAATTAAAAGGCTGTCTACCAAATCAAGAATGATTTTTATCTAGAGCTTTATTCATATAAAAGTTTCTAAGAGGGCTTTTTTTCGAAACTTTTAAACTGAAAACACTTCATGACATTCTAGCTGAAATAAAAATCTTAGAGTTTTTAATCCATAAATGGCTTGAAAAATCCTTTTCACTCATTTTATTTAGACACCCTTTATAAAGTTGTGTGCGTTCGGCTTTTTAAAATATCGTTCGTTTATCGCTACATGTTGTTAGTATTTTTTTCGATCGTTCGTTCTCATCAGTAAAAAATTTATCATTTCAATCAAGTTCGTTCGAACAAAATATTTAGGAATTGTTTATGAACGAAAATCTTTTGAATGATTTTAAATTGTTGTTTTTTTCTTTTTTAAAAACGATCAATCCAAGTCGTTCGTTCGTTTTTATAAATTTATTTTGTTGAAAAAACGATATCCATCTCTAGCCCTGTATATTCCCTTGTTCCTCAAATATTCCCTCAAGTGATTTCATGATTTAAAAAACGATATCCATCTCTAGCCCTGTATATTCCCTTGTTCCTCAAATATTCCCTTGATTATATAGAAATTTACTTACTGCATTCATTTCGTAAAATTATAAAAATATAGCATTAAGCTTAAACTAAAATCTATTAGCTGGAGTGCCCGGCCTTGCCCAGGTTTATATTGTTATTCAAAGTCAAAGTTATTCCCGCCGTTAACCCCCGGGGGCCCGGGCTGCCCACGGTTCCCTTAAAAAATGTCCACCGTTTGCCGAGTTAAAGCGAATTTATATACATATAAACAAATATATAAAACCACGGTGAAACCACGGTCCTCGGTGAAAATCTAATTTAAGTAGGTTAACTTTTAAGTGGATGACACTTTCTGAAATGAGTTAATAAAATGCATGAATGAAAACAAAGATTAACTCTAAAAAGAAAGCTTTGTTATTTGTAGTCTTCAAACCTTGAACAAGTGTCGTATTTTAATTTCCAAACAAAGACATGAGTTCCCAAGCTAGAACTATAGAGTAAAAATCTTGTATAATCTATTTATTATATAAAATACTAGCTTGGGGCCTCAGCTTTGTCTAAAGTTTTCAATTTAAAAGTCAAGCTACTCAACTTAGGATTGTTAAAACAGACTATACGTTCCTCCGTGGCTCGAGATCTAAATTTGAGTTAAATCAGTCAAGGGGTTCACAGACAAATGATATATGGTTCATGTATATTAAATGTGTTAGATGCCGAACCAATAAATGCCATTGTATCTTGGTCTGATTTAAATTCTGCTTTGTACACAATAGATTTAGTTAAAAATTTTACATTTAAAGGGAGTAACCGGCAATGTATGGTAGTTGAACTAAGAATGCAGTATTGAATGAGTATTTTTTTCAGGATTCATTTAAGACCTATCAAATGTTTTTATGATGCATATTTGTTCAGCTAGAGCGCAAATTCAATCTTAAAAATCCTCATGGATTGTCCACTTTGGAGGGAGGATTTTGAGAATCGGTTTGTTTTAAATTATCCAATGACGACCATGCAAAAGGTAACAAAATTTCATAGTAAACTTTAAATTTGTTTAGGAAAAGATTTCAAAGTAAAAGGTATCTACAAGATAGAAGCCCTGTCCATTTACATTTTAAATAGATCAAAAGACCATGATGGTTTATGTTCATATTAATGCTAGATAGCGCCTGCACATCAAATCTATTTTATAAATCCTGTATATTGCATGCAGCTTATAGAAAATATCAAATATTATAAAGATTGATATTTTTCATGTATTTAGACATATTTATAAAAAGATTGTTATTAAACATTAAAAAGAGCAACTTTTAAGCTAATAGGATTACTGTTCTGTTTACCGATGCAAATATCATTATGGTCTTCAATGGACGCAATTGAAGGAGGAGGGGATTGTAATATTAAAAAGGGTCTTCAATTAAAAATTAGAATTTCTTATTAAGAAAAAGGGGGTCTCCTATTAAAGAAGGGGGTCTCCTATTAAAGAAGGGGGTCTCCTATTAAAGAAGGGATCTCCTATTAAAGAAGGGGGTCTCCTATTAAAGAATGGGATCTTCTATTAGAGAAGGTGGTCTCCTATTAAAAAAGGGGGTCTCCTATTAAAGAAGGGGGTCTCCTATTAAAGAAGAAAAGGTGTTAGACATCTTCGATTTGAAAGCTTACATCATCTCACTCCGTAACTTAAAGTTACGCCTAGATAACCTCTAACCATAATTTTTCATTTTTCCTTAGCTTTCATAATTAGAGTTTTTTTAAATAAGGTCAGCTATACTGTATACAGCTGTACTGTATAAAGCTTTACTGGGAATCTAAAGGAAAATAAGAAAAATAATTTAAAAGTTTTTCTGAAAAAAGTAATTTGAAGACATGTGTCACAGCCCATGCATGTCAGAAAAAGAAAACTAAATAATTTACGTTTTTTTCCTTTAACTTTTACCTATATTCTAGGGAAATGTAAAAACTTGAAAAGCTTTAAAAAAACAGTTTTGAGGGAAGACAATCGACCCTTAGCCTCTTAAAAACTTGCTCCCTCGCTTTATTCAATAAATTCGGGTTATCTGGAGATGTTTAATTAAATTGGATGGTTAATATTTTATTTATTAAATTTTTCATAATACGTTGTGAGAGATATTAAATTGAGATTTAATTAAGGATAATGGGAATTTATACATTATATACAGGACCATAACTGGAAGGTTGGAGGTGGGAGGG